AACACCACCTCTCCATCATTCCCCACCCCCACACCCCAACACTTTCACCCGCCTCTCTATTAATCCCACCCCCTCACCTCCCCACACCCCAAACACCACCTCTCCATCATTCCCCAACCCACACCTCCCCACAAACGTCCGCCCACCTCTCTATTACCCCCACCCCCCACCTCCCCTGCCTGGGTTTTCCCTCAGCGCGAGCTACAAGTTGTCCCAGCCGTACGCATGCGCGAAACGTGCGCAGACCTGGTGAGCATGGGAGTAGGGTCACGCTGTGTTGTTGTGTACTCACGGTGTTTACCCAGACGTGCGTGCGTGCGGGGATGTGAAGGTGTATGGAGCACTCGGAGTGTGAATGGTGAGTTTGGAATTTCGTTGTGTGTGTTGTTGTTTTTTTTTAATTACAACAACTTAAACACAACACACTTGCACGCACACATAAACATTGAGACGCAGATTTATCTAGTATCATTATGACTTGATACACTATTATTATTTTAAACAGCTTACTATAATATGGTAAAGTTTATAGACTTTGTGTTTAGTTTTGCACACATTACGTTTAACAAACTTGTTTCGATTCCAACATAAATTATATATTCCATCAATAGTTTATCGATTCTGATAGACTTGTTTAAATCATCAAAAGTGTGTCTATTCTTACTGACTATTTTTTTTTTAGCTTGTCAATTCAATTTCGTATTTATATGCACAACAGATAATACATCAACAATTTTAATGTTTGACATCAGTTAGAGTTTAACAACAAAAACAATATGCATGCGTGTTTTAACAACAGATATTTTTGTAATGTTAAATAAGTGTTCAAGCATTTAGTAATTGTTGTAACACCTAAAAGATTTTTTCGCATTCAATGGATTTTCTAGCATCCAATAGATTTTCTAGCATCCAATAGATTTTATAGCATCAAATAGATTTCCTAGCATTCAATATTTTCTAGCATTCAATAGATTACCTAACGACATTATATCTGCATTTATCAAGATTTAAAATGGATAACATATTTATACTAATTTGATAGTATAATTGATCAAGAATCGATACAATTTTTTTTAAATGAATTAAAAAACAACAACACAACAAACAGATAGAGGCTGTGAGTAGAAAGTGAGGGGGGGGGGGGGGGGGGAGTGGGGGGGGGGGGAGTGGGGGGGAGTGGGGTGGTATGGGAGTTGGGGAGAATATGAGTTTGTAAGGGATTATGAGGAAATGATGATGGAGTGACGGGAGAGGGGGTAGGAGTGAGATGTAGATTAGGGGTAGGGAAACTAGAGACTGAGAGTATAGTGTGATAATGTGAAAGAAACTGGGAGGGGGAGAGGTGTAGAGGGAGGGGGAGAGGTGTAGAGGGAGGGGGAGAGGTGTAGAGGGAGGGGGAGAGGTGTAGAGGGAGGTTGAGGGGGGTAGAGGCGTGGTGGGAGTGTGTTAGGTGAAGAGGGAGGGTGAGAGGTGTAGAGGGAGGTTGAGGGGGGTAGAGGCGTGGTGGGAGTGTGTTAGGTGAAGAGGGAGGGTGAGAGGTGTAGAGGGAGGGGGAGAGGTGTAGAGGGAGGGTGAGAGGGGAAGTGGTAGACTGGGAGTGGGAAAGGTTTAGTGTGAGGCTGGGAGGGGTAGAGGTGTAGTGGGAGGCTTGGATAGGGAGAGTGATGAAGTGGGATCCATACGGTGAAAGGTTGTTTGAGATATTTGGAGGACAACAGATACCACATGACAGTTCACGCCCCAGTAGTTAAACCATCAGCTCTCAGTGCTAACTGAACCACATCCAAACGTAACGAGTAAACTTCATGTCATCTCACCCTAGGCTAAAATTAGACATGACTGTAACGTTTCTGTAGGTGCCTACACCCTGTAAGTGTATCATATGCCTACTGCACTTTTTATTTCGGGCTGTGGTTTGATGCCAGTAATAGAGAAACTAAAACGCCAGAGCAGAGTTTTATTGTATTGATTTCAAGCCAAGACACAGACCGAGCTAATTGCAGACACTTTTGGGCCGAAGCCAACAAGATGGCTTATGGTGGGGAGGGGGGGGGGGAGAGGAAGGGGAAGGGGGGAAAACGGGGATGGGTTGCTTAAGTAAGATTATAGTTTGGAGATATTTCGACAGCAGAATTATCTAAACAGTTCCTTTTTAATTAGGCACTCACGCACGCGAGCACGGGGATATATATCTGTATGAGTATGAACACACACGCACGCACGCACGCACAAACACACACAGACACACAATTTGTGACACAAGAAATAAAATCACTAAAAAATCCAATGTCGTTAGTATGGAATGCAATCGTAAACTGCTTGTTCATTGTGTCGATGAAGAAACACATACTATAATTACTGAGAAATTCCCCCCTCCCCTCCCCAACTGCCTACATTAGCATATTGTTTATCAATGAGTATCCACGCCGAATAAGCGTGGTGGTTGAGTTACAGTAACAGTGTGATGGTGACTCACTGAAAAAATATCTCTGGGAGGAATTTCTCCGATGGTTGAATTGGTTTATGTTATAGAATTGTTGCATTCGTTACAGAGACGTATGTAGTTGACTGACGATAGGGAAGACTAGGCCGGATTAGGTATATTACTATAATAAAATCAGAGTTTCTTCCAGAGTTTCTGGAAGAAACAATGAAGGAAATTAAAATGAAGTTAAATTTGATAGCCGTCTCTAAATAGAAGTAAACAAGACGTGCCTAACGCCAGCTTGTTAGAATTAGGTCTGTAATATAACACAAATCAGGATTCTAGCGTTGATTGTCGATCAATAAAATATGAAAGGTCAAGGCCGGAATGGGAGATTGTGGCTTTAAACACGAGTATAAATAGTGAGTAAATATTTTGGTTGTACAGATAGGCAGTGTCGATCCAGCAGGTAGATCACAATATTCATGGGTGTTAGAGGGTGGATTAGCGTTTTTTTTAAAATAGAGTCTTATTCTCCTTCATTCTTAAGTGTATTTTTAGACGTGATTTCCTCTAACACAATTAAGTATTTTGTATCAACTTGTTATACACTTCACCACGATTTTAGCCTGCTTTTCTTTTTGGATTATAGCCTTTGTCCAACCAAGAACAAGCTACAAGGTAGCAGTTGTTCGATTTTTGTATTTTTTCTATCCTTAAAGAGTTGCTGTGCCCAGCTGTCGAGCCTCTTCTGCACTGGGGTTCGAACTCAGGACTTATCGGTTTAGCAACCTTGAGTTTTTACTTAACCCACCACGAATCCATTTAGTACTCTGTCATTAAGTGTGGGGGCAGTGTTTAATAAGATGTGCATTATCCATATAAAGTAGCAATAGGTGATTGAAAAACTTAACGCAATCAGTCCCCATAACAATAAATGATAATAAAGCTTAATTCAACGCTATTGTTATATTTTCATCAAAGTATAACACGTTTTGTGATGTTACAGATCTTCCTTAACTATTGCTTTTAATCTAATAAAAAAAAGTTCAACGTTTTAATTTATGAAGGTAAGAATCTAGTTTACAATAAAGGTGGCCATTGATAGAAATGTGAAACAGCTTTCCTATTTCATCTTTTTTTTTACTTAATTTTCGATAAAAATGATACCTTAACCGAAAAATTCAAAGTTCGATTCACTTTGAAGACGAAGCTTATTAGTTGGAGACAGCAACTCATCTTGGAGAGAAAACACAAACATAAAACAAATGCTGACGTGAACTTAGTTCTTGGGTGGACAAAAAAATCTATATAAGCAAATCTAGAAAGAAAAGCATCAAGCTAAAAAAATGGAATTCACAGGCATTATGGATTATAACAAGTTGACACGTAATATTTATCTTTGTTGGAATAAATCCATAACGACAGTAAAACTGATAATGAATAAACAGGAAGAAGAAAAAGATAACCTGAAGTTTATCTTTGAAATTTGCTTTTATTCCGTTTTCTTTTTCAATTGCACAATAGCCATGCATGTAGCAATGCATTGCATGAACTGCGCATTGAGGTAAAAGGTTACTAATCGATGTTTTCGGGCCTGTCTTAAAAAATTGTTGTTGTTGTTATCAGCTTGTTTACCTTAACAAAAAGCGTGCACTTAGTTTTAATTAGAACAACATGCATTAGCGTTGAAGCCAGTGATGAAAATTAATGAGGGCGGATGTGTTGTGAACGTTTCTGATAATGGAGTCTTCTTAAAAATGGGGTGTTTGGTAATAAGACGTAGACCCAAAAAGGTCTAATAATTTAACTTGCTTATGTCAACACTACCATTATTCGATGATGAAACTGTGCTTCTAAAATAACGACCAAGTGGGTAAAGCTAGTGATGTTGTAGATTACACGTATAATGAAAAAAAAACAGAAACATTTGCAAGTGATCAATTATTTCAACTTTCAGATTTAAAAAATTGGAATTGAACTTTTTGAATGGTGCATAAATTATATATATATATATATATATATATATATATATATATATATATATATATATATATATATATATATATATATATATATATATATATATATATATATATATATATATATATATATATATATATCAATATATATATATATATATTGAATGAATGAAAATATGAGTCTATATGTTAGAAATTAAGAAATATTTGCTAATCTAGGCCCTATATCAGCTTTCACTAGCCGATTATGAAAACTGCTCTGCTAACACGAACAAGTAGGTAATGCGAGTGATGTTGTTAATTACATGTTTGATGCTCACACGCTAAAAAATCTGGCACATAGATTACATATCGGCCAGGTGACAGCTGAGCGGGTGCTTAAACTCCTCGTTAAGGTCAACGCTGTTTCATTGATTCGTCGACAGTTATTAGGCTGAATACGGTAATCAACACACTGGTATGAATAACGTAGAGCAATGTGTTGTTCAGCCTTGATGCGGGTGTTTATTATGGATTATTCGGCCTGAACTACCAGCTGGATAGCCGAAGTTTATTTTATTTCATTTTTTTTATTTTTGGTTAGGGATTTTACGAAACAGAGGGAGTGGATGAAACATGAACTGATGTTGGGTTATAAAAATGAACAAACGTCTGAGTAGCTGTATTAACTAAGGTCCGAGTAGAACGATTGACTGTGTGCTTCGCAACCCAATCTAGGTGAGTAGTTTTTATAATTTAAACACCTGCGACTGTAACATATGCGAAAACACAGGCAAGCATATGGCATACGAACACAATGTTAACTAGAGGCTTTATCTCAAGACAACGTGTACGTAAACTTCGACAATTAAAAACATACAAAAAGTAAATACACACAGAATGAGCTCAGGAAAATGAAGCCTCAAAAATGATAAACAGACGAAATCAGACGTTGATTAAACGCTTAAAATAACAAATATAACACGAAAATCACACTAAATAACAGGTATACTTTAAACAAATATTATAGGAAGTCGTGGTCTAGAGAGAGCTAGACTGCTAACCCGAAAGTCTCGAGTTCGAATCCGGGTTATATTCAGTGCAACGTCCCTGAGTCCACCCAGCTCTGATGGGTACCTAACTCACATTAGGGAAAGTAAAGTCGGCTGGGCATAGCGCACGCGGCTATTCCCTTCTTGTGCCGAGGTCAAGAAACATGAACTCTACTCCATCTGCCCAATGGATCGCTTGGTCTAAAGACGAATGTTTTAACACAAAAACCACACGAAATAATAAACAGACTTAACACACCAACCAGACAATCACTGACATACAACAAACACACGTTAACAACAAACATACATAACACGTCGCGTTTGTTTACCCCCTGCTTTAGACTACCAGTGCTGAGCACTATTTTTCACATTCCCCAGGATCACTCTCCCTCACCCCTACACCCCCCATTTCCCCCCCCCCCCCCCAAGTCTCTCTGTGTAATCACGTTTACACGGGGGAGAAAGTCTAGCACACGTAGACACAGCACGAAAAGCGCGAGGCGATGACGTCATTATTCCCTGACCCACTATCACTAACACGACACAATACGATCACAGGCAGTCGTTAAATGGGGAGTTGAGCGAGAAATATGTGTGCTCAATGGAATGGTGAACTAGAAATATGTGTGCTCAATGGAATGGTGAACTAGAAATATGTGTGCTCAATGGAATGGTGACCTAGAAATATGTGTGCTCAATGGAATGGTGAACTAGAAATATGTATGCTCAATGGAAGGGTGAACTAGAAATATGTATGCTCAATGGAATGGTGAACTAGAAATATGTATGCTCAATGGAATGGTGAACTAGAAATATGTATGCTCAATGGAATGGTGAACTAGAAATATGTGTGCTCATTGGAATGGTGAACTAGAAATATGTGTACTCATTGGAATGGTGAACTAGAACTATGTGTACTCATTGGAATGGTGAACTAGGAATATGTGTGCTCATTGGAATGGTGAACTAGAAATATGTGTACTCATTGGAATGGTGAACTAGAAATATGTGTGCTCATTGGAATGGTGAACTAGAAATATGTGTGCTCAATGGAATGGTGAACTAGAAATATGTGTGCTCATTGGAATGGTGAACTAGAAATATGTGTACTCATTGGAATGGTGAACTAGAAATATGTGTACTCAATGGAATGGTGAACTAGAAATATGTGTGCTCAATGGAATGGTGAACTAGAAATATGTGTGCTCAATGGAATGGTGAACTAGAAATATGTGTGCTCAATGGAATGGTGAACTAGAAATATGTATGCTCAATGGAATGGTGAACTAGAAATATGTATGCTCAATGGAATGGTGAACTAGAAATATGTGTGCTCATTGGAATGGTGAACTAGAAATATGTGTGCTCAATGGAATGGTTAACTAGAAATATGTGTGCTCAATGGAATGGTGAACTAGAAATATGTGTGCTCAATGGAATGGTGAACTAGAAATATGTGTGCTCAATGGAATGGTGAACTAGAAATATGTATGCTCAATGGAATGGTGAACTAGAAATATGTGTGCTCAATGGTTCAGTAGAGGACACACTCGCTGTTGTGTTAGGGGTGGATTAAGTTTGAACAGATCCCTGAAGGCATTGCTCAATTTGTATAGAGTAGAACTATTTACATGTGTAGTAATTGTATTAATCGTCACCATTCCCCAAGTCAAAAAGGACAGATGAAGTAGAGTTCATCGCTTTCAGTGACCTCGGCATACATGGGTTAGTGTGGTCAGCATCAAGCCGAGCCGTTTTTTTTGTTTCTCCAACGTGATTAGATGAAAGCATGGCTCCCGATAAAATAGTCCCTATTCTTGTTTTTCGTCTCGACCTACTTACCCACCCACCACCACGACTAGGCCCAACACACACTTATGCTCACACACACACACACATACACATACACAAACACATACACTCACAGGCATGCCCACATACACGCACACACACACGCACAAGCACTCACGTACAAACTTTAAAAACATACCTGCCTATTTGACTTGAACGCGGAGAATATCGGGTTAGCAGACTAGCGCTCTATGTAAAAATGTACTAAGGGGTAATATACGGGGGATGGGGGGAGGGGTCAATGAATGGGGGGGGGGACGTCCTCCTCACGGGATTAAGTTCAGGTCTAGAGTTTTTATACCGTTTTGAATTTACATCGTAACCGATGAATCGATTCTATCCACATAGCGCGCAAGTCGAACTTCCGTCTAGATAAACATACAGCTACTAAAAGAATGGTGGTGATGGGAGGGGGGGGTCGGGTGCCAGACTTTGCCTGGAAGTTTTAGGATCTTGCGACCCTAATACGTAACGTCAATATAAACTGAGCTGGAGGTTAAGGGGGTTGTCCATAAATGACGTCACGCTTTATTTGCCGATTTTAACACCCTCCTCCTCCCCATCACTATGTTACGACATCGTCATGACTCTTCAGACTCGTTCATAAAATTACTTCACATATTAGCTCCCCACTCCGTTTTATATATATATATATATATATATATATATATATATATATATATATATATATATATATATATATATATATATATATATATATATATATATAAATTTTAGTTATAAAATTTTAGATTTCATTTCCTTTACTAATAGATACAGTTACTGTTAAGTATTTGCGCGTCAAGTTCATTTAACCCCATACATCGCCAAATATATTATAGCCTACCGCAAATTATACCAAAATATAATTATTAAAATGCAAAATGAGGCTACAGTTCAGTTTAAAAATCCAGTTATCTAATTTGAAAAGTGCGATGTCACATTCCCAAAATATTTCTCCACATCACACATGTCTAAATGTCAACCCATTTTCTTGGATTGGGCTTACATTGATAATGAAAGAGGATAATATTGAGAAGTAAGTGCTAGACTCGAATCCTCAGGGTTAGAGGAAAGTAGACCGGTCAAGGAAATCCTAGAGAAGAACAGTTAAAGATGAGGCAAGGGATCAAATAGAGAAAGCTGTCTAATGCCGTGTCCGGGGGTGAAGTGTTGTTGCAACCCATTTGCTCCCCAGAGGTCTTAAAGAAATTAGTCGTCTTTTCTTTAAAGAACCTAAACTAAAGTGTTTTAACCATACACACACACACACATACACACACACACACACACACACACATATATATATATATATATATATATATATATATATATATATATATACTAGCCGTCCCGGCCAGGCCCTGCTCTGGCTTCTGTGAAAAACCTTTCTGTTAAAGACCATTACCTGTGTGTTTAGTAATCATCATAAACCCGGCATTGCCCACCCAAACCACAACCAACCAAAACCAAAACAACAAAACGCAAACATAACGCTAACACAATTACAAATACAAACGAAAACAAAAACCTAACAACAAACCCAACCACAACCACAAACACCAATACAAACACAAAGAAAAAACAAACAAAAAAACAAACGAAAACAAAAACCTAACAACAAACCCAACCACAAACACCTATACCAACAAAAAAAAAAAAAAAACAACGAAAAAGCAAACGAAAACAAACCAAATCCAAACGCAAAACCAACCAAAAACACAAATACTAACCCAAAGAAAAAAACACAAACAAAAACGAAAAAAGAAAGAACAAAAACGAACCAAATCAAAACGCAACCACTAACGCAAACCCACCTAAACACAAAGAAAACACTAACGCGAACATAAACGCCCGGGGCGGAATCACCTGTTTTAGCTTAATGAACGACTATAGTACCCCAACTTATTCATAGTCTTTTGCACTCACTTAAACGAACGCGCCTGTTTCAATTTAATGAACAATTTTAATACTCCAAGCTTATCCGTAAAATACCTACAACATTTGCACTTGATCAATCCCCGCTAATTATGTAATTATTTTTTTTCCCAACACCAAAACAAAGTAATTAAAAAGTAAATTATTTTCCACAAAATGCAATGGTTTTATAAAGGGAAGTAATTTTGTTTTCCTAATTTATCAAAGGGAAGTAAGTGCTATAGGACTAAATAAAGACATAATTAGAATTTTTGTAAAAGACGATATTTTTTTAAAACTTGTGTTTAATGAACATGCCGACAATTATTACTATAATTTGAAAAATGAAAATTATTTCCCAACACTTTCAATAGTAATTTTTTAGCTCATAAATTTAGGCAAATGCGCACGATAATTTTCTAACACTTAAATTCATCCAAGACCAACGACAAACATATGCATTACATACAGAACTGAGCTTTATATATTAGATATATATATATATATATATATATATATATATATATATATATATATATATATGTATGTATATATGTATGTATATATGTATATATGTATATATATATATATATATATATATATATATCATATACATCATATACAAACATACATATATACATATATTTATGTATATATATAAATATAATTATATATATATATATATATATATATATATATATATATATATATATATATATATATATATAACTTTTCAAAAATGTATATGTTGATGTTAAAATCATAAATAGTAAAATAAAATACATATTGTATCTATTTTTATTCCACGTCGCCAGCTACCTTCAGGATGGGTGTTGCAGAAGCCTTGTTGATCACTGCCAGCGTCCTAATCATAGTGACCAACCTCTCTCTGATAGCCCTGATCCTGACCTCTCGTACCTTACGGCATACGCCCAGTAATCTCATCATCGCCTGCATAGCATTCGGCCACCTCCTGATTGGCAGTTTTGTGCTGCCCTTTTACATCCGGTTTCATTACATGGGACCTACGGAAGACTGCAGCCTGAATGTGGCCTTGCCGGTGAGGTTTTTGTAAGGGACTTTTCCGTTAGAGGGTACCGTTTGGCAAGTGTGTGGTGATGATGTGGTGTTTGTAGATTTACGTACTGTCGTCGATGAGGGTTGGAGTTAGGTTTTAGGTTTGTTGATATAATGTCTAGGAATTTGGGTCAGGTGTTTTGTTGAGGGCACTATGGTTGTGTTGGAGTTAGATGTGTGGGTTAGGGCTAAATGGTTGGGCTAGGGCTAACTGGCAGGTTCAGCGATAAATAGTGAGTTAGAACTAGAAGATTGAGAAAGAGCTAAAATTTGTGTTAGGGTTATTTTTGTAAGATGGTTAGCTTAGGGCCAGATTTCTGCAATTCGTCAGATAAAAAACGTTTTAGTATAGAAAAATTATAAGTATTCAAAAAGTATCTAATGCTATCTTAAAATAGCTACACAACGTTATTATGTTTAGAACTGGGTAAGCGAAAGTGTTTGTTATTTTTTTTTACATTGAAATGCATTTAAAAGATGAGAGACAACTTCGAAATCAAACAACTGCGGCCTTGTAGTTTTATCTTGATTGGACAAAAGCTATGGAAACAAATCCAAAAATGAAAATCGGAGTCAACGGCCTATATGGCGCATAACAGGTTGACACGTAATACTTAATTGTGTTGGAGGGAATCTCTTCCAACATTTAAAATTTTAAAAAGCAGATGAAGAAAAATAACCTTGACTATATTTTAAGAATTGTTTGTCCTTTTATTATAATTTCCTTATCAAGCTTTACTTTAAAAAAAATGTCTTCCCTCAGATCTCGTTTCAGTACATCTCCATCTTCGTGGTAGCCTGGTCCATGGTGACTTTCAGCGTCTACAACGTCACCAAATTCCACCGCAGCATGACGCCCAAATGGCTCATCGGGCTACAGAACTGCTGCAGCCAGAGGAAGATCTGCATCCTCTGGAGCTACGTCGCCGGGCCGTGTTTCATCATACCGGTGGTGTGGGCCTCGCTGCGGTCCCACAAGGGGGCGGAGGATGAGTTGATGTGCATGCTGATGATGCCCAGCGGCTGGGGGGTTATGCTGGCGTTTTTCTGCCTCCACCTCCCGTACTACCTCTGCATCGCCGACATCATCACGATTTTAGTTTTCCAAGGCCGGGGTTGTTACCGGGAGTTACCTCCTTCTTTGACGACGGATAGACCGGAAGAGGAAGTAGAAGGGGAATCCAGGGCTCCGATTGAAAACCCGGTGTTGGCGTCTTTCCCGATGATTGTGTACGCGATTGGAATGTTCCTGTTGATTGTGGATGATTGGTTAATTCTGGGCGGCCCCCACGGGCAGGCTAGAAGCCAGGCTGAGATGATGGAGTTTGGTGCTGTCGTGTCGGCGCTGATTACGCCAATTGTGTTGCCCTTCACCTGGCTTGTGTTCAATGATATCAAGACCGAAGCGGCGGAGAGTCTCAGGAACGTCCTCAAGATGTTCCAGCTCTGCTGCAGTAAGCCGGCTACGTCGACGCCCACCACGGTAACGTTTAGTAGACTTCAAGAGACACAGGCAGCTTAAAGCAGACTTCGGGAGATCGGGAGACATAGATACTACAAAGCAGACTTAGGGAGATTCAGATAATGTTTAAAGCAGACTTTGGAAGACACAGACAGCTTAAAGCAGACTTCGGGGAGACAGAGATAGCTCAAAGCAGACTTCGGGAGATTCAGATAATGTTTAAAGCAGACTTTGGAAGACACAGACAGCTTAAAGCAGACTTCAGATGGCATTTAGCTTAAAGAAGACTTGGCAGACAGACAACGTAAACCAGATTTCAGCAGACAGACAACTAAAAGCAGACTTCATAAAGTACAGACAGTTAAAGCAGATAGTAAGAGACCGCTAAAACAGATTTCCAGAGAATAAGACATTTTTAAACAGTTAAAGTCAAGACTTCAGCAGACACAGACAGCTTCAAACAGACTATCGAACACAGCTTGGCGTAAAAAAAAAAGAATAGAGTACAAAATACCAATAAGGACCAACAAAAAAAAAAAAAAAAAAAAAAAACAAGACAGACACAAATAAAAGGCCGATATTGACAAAAGGCCGACTGCACAGTGTCTTATTAGTCACTATATAGGCATTTATTCCGTGTTGATCTTTTAATCAGATACCATTTTCTCCCAAAACGGATCTCTACGAGCTACAGTTAGCTTTTTTATACCTGTAACATTATCAAGTTTATCAACGTCACTCAAAAGGTCGCTAAAAGAAAAATAAATCCTTCACTGTATATTTTACGGATCACTTCGTGAGGTTTAGAATCAGAAAACTGTTCAGAATGGACGACTGACTAGTCATACTAGTCTTGTTGATTTTTTTTTCAAAGCATCAAGTTGCGGCATACAACACAGTTTACTTTCTTTAGTTTAACCGAAACAGAAGCTGGCTACATGACATTTGCCTGAATTTGGCTACATGACATTTGCCTGAATTTGGCTACATGACATTTGCCTGAATTTGGCTACATGACATTTGCCTGGATTTGGCTACATGACATTTGCCTCAATTTGGCAACATGACATCAATCTGGGTATGTCTACATAACATCAGCTGAAGCTGGCTACATGACATTTGCCTGGATATAGCTACATGACATTTGCATGGATATGGCTACATGACATTTGTCTGAAGCTGGCTACATGACATCAACCTGGATATGGCTACATGACATTTGCCTGAAGCTAGCTGGCATTCAACTCAATCTGTCACACTTACCCCATGTTACGTTACTCTGTCAAATTTTTACTCACACCTCACTCCTTGCATCACCCAAACCTAGACAACCCCACCCCCTCCTATATATCGTCACAAACTTCCTCAACTTCCCTCCCTCCCTCCACCCTATAATATCTTATAAGTAGTGTAAGAGATACAAAATTCATAAACTTCTTCATTTTAATTTTTTATTTCTTTTTGGTACATTTTTTTTAGACACAACTAGAATACCCGTCATCCGTTGGATAACTGTGGGTTTCGGGGGTCATCCATCAAAAAACATCACGTCTGTCACTCAGAGGCATAGCGAGCCTTCCCGGCGCCCGGGGACAAACTTTTCGATTTTAACCCCCCCCCCCTCCAAGATTTCGATTTTCAACTCCCCCCCTCAAGCTTTTGATGTGCCCCCCCCCCCCCCCCCCACTCAAACTTTCGATTTGAACCCCCCTCAACCTTTCAATTTATTTTTCCAAACCATTTTGACGCCCCAACATATGTCCCCCCCGCCCCCTCCCTTCCCCCCTCCACCTCCCCCCGCCTCCCCTTCCCCCCCCCGCCTCCCCTCCCGCCCCCCCCCCCTCCTCGCTACGCTACTGCAGTGTCACTTATCGTCACAAAAACAGACCCCACATTCAAAAATATGTTTCTTATCTTTTAAAAACACCGAAAACACCGATTTCGGACTATCCCTTCATATACTGACGTCACATGTGACCTACTCAACTCTACTTCACCTGCCCAGTGTCCCGCCAAGTCTCAGACAACATGTTTTTATCGTTTAAAAAACGATTCCAGCCGAGCATGTCTCTGACCACACTATCCTTTCATATGCTTAGGACAAAGAAACAGATGAACTCTACTTCACCTGCCCTGTATCCTGCCAAGTTCAGATAGGCAACTTTATCATTCACATCTAAAAAAAAAAAAAATTGAAAAAAAATATCATTGACATATTGGTCTATAACCTGTGCCACCCACATGAGAGCGGGCTACGCTACCAACTTAGCTATTTACTCGTGACGTCACAAATGAATTTTTATACTATACTTTTGAGTCTCCGCGCATAGATCTAGATCTAAGTCTAGTAGTAGTTACTTTCAAATTAAATTTAATCTTAAATTAGCCAAACAAAGATTTATATAAAATAATTAAGGCCTGAAATAGATTCTAGATGTATTAAGGCCTGAAATAGATTCTAGATGTAGAATTTACATTAAGTCTAGATCTAGAATTTACATTGAGTCTAGTGACCTAGATCTAGGCTAGATCTAGATCTAGGCTAGATTCAAAACTTTCCTTCGACAGCTGATCTTTAGATCTAGAGAAATTTATTGTAAAACTAAATGAAAAAAGACAGTTTAAAATTGATATAAGTGTTGGAACGTAATAAATACAGCAAACGGACGTATTGTTAAAGTTATGACCGACAGAAAATTAGAATTAGAACGCGTTAAACTTTTGAATGGGAACACAATTTTCTTCGATAGACGCCGCCATTTTATTGTACTAAAGAGTAAACAAAAACCTGTGACGTCACTGTTTCCGTGGAGTCTAGTGGCTTTTCAAATCTTTTTTAAAAAATTGGGTTATTCTGCGTATGAATAAATCAATAAATTAATTAACGTCTTTAAATAAATGTGTGATTAACAGTCTGTCTTAAAACAAAATTTTTTCTCTACCTACATACTATTTTACAGCTTTCCACGATGAGTGCAACCATGCGAGATAGTCAATCAGGCAAACAAACAAACAAACAAAAAAACAAACAAAAAAATAAATATTCAAACATGTAAACAAACTTGACTTTTAGTAGTATATAGATGAACACAGCCCCTTATTCCCACCTAATGTCATTCCACAACGCGACATGCAATTCTCGCCCCACCCACTCCCCCCAGTGGCGTAGGCAGGGGGCGGGGTTAGGGGGGGGGTCATAACCCCCCATAGACCCCTCGGTATATATATATATATATATATATATATATATATATATATATATATATATATATATATATATATATATAAAGTATGAGGGGGTGCAAATCAGAAGTTTGAGGGGGGGGGGGGGTGTAAATCGAAAGTTTGTCCCCGGGTAAAAAGTTGACCCCCCCATGAGACCATCCTGGCTACGCTACTGACTCCCCCCCCCCCCCCCCCCACACACACACACATACACTCCGTAATTACGTGGCGTTAATTTTTTTTTGTTTACAAACTCCTATAAACATTGTGAATATTGTACTGCTAAGAACAGACAATATGTCCTTATGACTTGTGATTTAGATTACCCCCACACATTCATATTTAACACTCGCCCCCCATCCCCACCCCACCCGCTTTGTGGCTGTTAAACAAGACAACAGTCACCCATAGATTCAGCTAAATTATATCTTTTATATCATAATCCTTTGGATGTACCGGTTACTCATTTATTTTATTCTAGCATTATATCATATTTTTGATATTTCTATGATGTGCGGTTTACGATAAAAATTGAAAAACAAACTTTATTAAACTGTAGTGCAGGATTAAAACATTTTGCGTTTTTATAAGAAGTATATAAATATATATATATATATATATATATATATATATATATATATATATATATATATATATATATATATATATATATATATATATATATATAAAGACATATTTTAAAACATAATAAACAATGTTTGAAGAAATCTTTTGCAAAGTAAATCTCCTTCAAAAAATATCTAAGGCTGTATTCTCAATTGTAAATATTTCTAACGTACACACTGTGATATCCAATTTCTAATTATTTTAATGATTTTTCACGTGTCTTAACTTCTTAATTTTTTTTCGGGGCTTCCATTTTATAAAATATCGTATTTGCTGATATTTATCTGCACATTTCAATCAAAAAGTGTTTTCCTGTTGTTTACAAATTTCTTCTTAAATTTTTTAATTGTTTGAAATTTAATTGCTTTGTCGAACATGGTATAGCGATTGATGTGAAAGCATTTTACTGTGATGCATTACAATAATCTTATACCGTGAGATTATTTTTCCGTATTGTAAACCTATGTTCATGTTAATCTACATATTAAATATAAATCACAGGCTATCAGTGTAATCAGTAGTGTTTCTTCCAGACTTTTTTCTCCGGGGGGGGGGGGGGGGGGGACTTGAAATTTTTTTTTTGGGGGGGGGGGGTGGGGGGGGGGGCGGTAGACTTTATTCGGGGGGGGGGGGCAAACACCGTTAAAAGTATAATATATTTTCTATATAAATTATATAAATTTCATTTCGTTCGGGGGGCGGGGGGGGGGGGCGTTAGATTTTTTTCGGGGCCCCGAAGAGATGCCTGGAAGAAACTCTGGTAAACAGTTACTCGGTACACAGGTTCAGATATAATGATACGTTTAAATCGTGACTGTTTTATAAAGAAGAAGAAAAAACAGGTTCTCTCATCATTCAAATTACTTTTTATTTTTATTTTTTATCACACGATTTCAAATGAATATATAAAAACTTTGATGTATTTCTGAAATAAAAGCATAGAATAAATACCCCTATCGTACTGCAGACGATAGATCTGTTGTAGTTATAGTTTAATGCCATTTATGTTTTTAAAAAATGATAGAAAAAAAGGTTTTAAATTTTTGTTTTCATAGTTTAATACAATTAAAAAGAAAAAGAAAACTCGTTTTACATTTTAACTTTATTTTTCTGCTGTATTTAAGCACAAATTTTAATGTAATTTGTATTACACGTAAGATTTACATATTTTTAAAAAGTAGCATTATAGATTCGTATTTGCTTCTTCTTTTCTTCTTTATAATATTAGATTTGTTATTTTCTTAACATGTTCTATCTGTTTCGAGATATTTTAAATGTAAATTATCTTTGTATTTTATTTTATTATACCAGGTTCTAAAGTTTATATTTGTTCTAAAATATTTTTTAAGTTTAAACTTATTCAATTGTATATTACATTTTCTATTTTCTTGTCCAAAAAGTAAAGATTTAAAAATTAGATTATTTTTATCTCCAAATAAAATTTATGACTGTAAATAAAATCGTAAATATTATTCAAGAAGTCTTTATCGTGTATTGATTTCATATATTGGATTTCTGCATTTTATAATTATGTATTATCAATTAATTATTACGTTATTTTGCATATGCTGTGGTTTACTTTGTTAAACAGAATCTATTCTTTCAGACAACAAGAAATTGAATAATGATAATTATAATGATAATAATAATAATAATAGTAATAATGATAATAATAATAATAATAATAATAATAATAATAATAATAATAATAATAATAATAAAACAACACTAATAATAATAATAATAATAATAATAATAGTAATAATAATTGTATCAATAATAATAATATTCATAATAAAAATGTTAATAATATTAATAATAATAATTATTATTATTATTATTATTATAATTATTATTATTATTATTATTATAAAAATTATAATAAAAATAATAATTATAATAATAATAATAAAAAAATAATAAACATTCATGTGGCCCCCTTGTATAGCACATGGACTTAACCACACCTCCCCCTTGTACTCGGTTTTGGGCGATTTCTCCAAGTTGGGTCTACGCCATTCCTGGTGCTTCGGCTTCACTGACAGCTAATCTTGTCCAAGTATTTATAGGTCTACCTGTTTTACCTCTTTCCTTGAATAGTAATCAGTCTTAAAAATAAATACAGCACTTGTTTAATTAAATAAAGTATTCAATGCCCTGAGAAAGTGAGAAATTCGTTCTGATTGATCTACATTTAGCTTGTTAGTAATCCCTGAAGGGTGAAAGAATAATAGTGTTGGTCTCAACGTAAGGTTTTGTGAAAGGTTTGTTAGATGAAACTTTACAGAGTGTACACAGCGTTTCTTCTGAAAAAGTTTCTCCGGGATGGTGGAGGGGGGGGGGGGGGTCGATTCAGATTTTTTGGGGTGGTGGAGGGACGTTCTTAAATTTCCTGAGAGGAGGGCAAACACTTGTTAAAACATATATTTTCCATATAATTTATATATTTTTTCTAATTTGTCGTGGGGGATGGGGTTTGGGCGAGGGTGGGGGGGGGGGGGGGGGGGTAGAGAGAGCAGTGTTGTGGACTACAAAAGTAACACTTACTAAAGTAAGCTTTTATAAGAAATGATTTAATCAAATAAATATGTTGCTGTCAATGGCAGTTTACATGGGAGAAATCAAGATGCTTGACAGTTGTCGTCATTCAAGGGAGTGGCATGTTAACAAATCTAACAAAAAGTACGATTGCTATAATTTGGTTCGTGCCATATATTTATCAAGAACATTAACTGTGTTTTAAAAAGTTGCTTTAATACAATGAATTTCCGTCCCCTTATGAAAAATTTATATTTTTACTTTCTCGTATACAGAGTAGCGAGCATTTTAATTGTGCAGAAAAATTACCAGTTCTTTTGACAGTTTTCACCGTTTTATATACATTCCTACTTTATCGTATCCAGAATATAAAGAATGTATAAAATTGAAAAAATATTAATAGATATTTTAACACACTTCCGGAGCCGAAAGTTGTTTTGCAATACTGTTTGTCTGTCTGTCTGTTTGTACGAAAACACGATAAATTCAGTACCGTTTCAGTTAGGTTGACGGAATTTGAAATATATTACATCACATTTGCAGGGATCTTTCAACTTTTGACCAATGACCAATTTCCAGTAAACAGAAGAGGTACTTAACTCTACTTTCGATTTTCAAAAAAGCCAATAACTAGTATACTTACGCGATTCTACTTTATTTAAAATGTGTATAATAGAGCGGAAAATTAGTATTTGTGATGGAGTATTTTTTCCCCCATTCAGAGTTTGGTTATAATCCAAATAAAAAAACCGTTTCACTTTGGTGTGTTTTCTCGAAAAATAAAGGAAAAGGGTTGGGGGGTTGGGGAGGGGGGGGGGGTTGTCTCTAAATTCTATATTTCTATATCCCGACTGTACTGAAGTGCCATCCACTTATTGTTATAAAAAAAAACCTTTTATAATAGCAGAAATCACACATCCCCGGAAATACAATAAGGTAAAACTGTTGGAAAAATTGTGCTGATGGTGTCTTCTACAGAATTCGTGTAAGTGGATGTGATGAAATACTGTTTGACTGCTGATCATCTTCTTTTTCGTTTTTAATTTGTGTTGGAAGGGATCCCCCTCCAACACAATTAAGTATACGTGTCAACTGGTTATGCGCCATTGAGGCCATTGACTCCGATTTAAGCCTGCTTTACTTTTTGGATTTGCTTCTATAGCCTTTGACCAACCAAGAACAAACTACAAGGCAGCAGTTGTTCGATTTTGGCGTCGTTGAAGAGTGGCTGTCCACAGCTAATGAGCCTCATCTACGCCAGGGTTCAAACTCGAGACTAACCGGTTTAGCAACTATGAGCTTTACCGACTCGGCCATGCCGAGACATACTGCTGACAAATGAAGTCTTGAAATATTGATACTTATAGCTAGACCAGAACCATTATGGATGAATATATCAATGAGTTGTTGTACCATTGATTATATACAGACTAATTTACTGATATAGGATAAAATGTTTATATAGTAATGGCGATAGGCTGTTGACCTATTGGTGATAGATCTGTGGTTGATGACCTATTGGTGATAGATATGTGATTAACCTATCGGTGATAGATATGTGGGTTGCTGACCTATTGGTGATAGATATGTGGGTTGTTGACCTATTGGTGATAGGTCTGTGGGTTGTTGACCTATTGGTGATAGATATGTGGGTTGTTGACCTATTGGTGATAGATATGTGGGTTGTTGACCTATTGGTGATAGGTCTGTGGGTTGTTGACCTATCTTTAACCTACCTGTTGGTATTTATAATTCGTTTTTTTTAAGTTTATATCTGCATTGTACCCTTTTTCTTTCTAATATTTAGATATAAATTGTTATATTTAGCCCTCATTTTTAAAAGATAGCCGTCCAATTAATTTAAAGTAGCTTGTAAATGGCATTCCGTTGTTTGTATTTAGGTATAATATGTTTTTGTTTTTTTAAAAACCCTCTTAATAAATTTGATACAATTTCACATTCAAGTATGACGCATGTTGCATTACGAGTGTATGTTGCAACGCAGAAAGCTATAAAATGACAATGTTGTGCACCATACGTTGACCTACTTTCCGCGCCAACACACCAGCTAGTTTAAAATAAGTATGGGTCTAGTGATCTATTTGACTCGCGATCTAGATCTATTGAGTCTAAAAGAAGGCCTACTAGATCTAGAACCGGTAGGTAATGTTTTCATAGCCTGTAAGCTTAGATGTAATTCTTTTAATTTGAATTTACGTGCAAATTTCACTAGTCTACACTTGTCTACAAGTATCCTTTTTACAGTCTGCTAGATGTAACTGCTTCTGACTAGATTCTACTTCAACATCTTAAATGTGTCTTAACATAAAACGCGTGTCATCTTGTGTAATCAATTGACTCAAGTTTTAAACCGTGTTACTATTAGCCACACTGTTACTATGCTGTTTCTGAATGAAACGAACAATAGGTATATTTTACAAATATTATTGTACATTTTTACAGTGTAGTTAAATTACCTACGGAGTTTTAAATCAATGTGGGGTTAAAGGAAACCACTTTAAAATTTGTATATCGTCTAGTTGGTAACACGTGTTGAACTTTGAACCGTAACACCTTTTTGACCGTCTATATGCTTGTTATATTTTAGTTTGGGGGAAACAGTTTCTTCCTTTGCGGCGAAAATTGTTTGAAATAAACCCTGCATCTTACGTACTTTAACATATATAATCTAGACAGGCCTGCAACTTTTAAACATTTTTTTGCATTCTCGTTTGCTTCAAAAGGCGTGGTTGAAGGGTGACACCAATAAGGAGTAACATCAAAAAGATAAATCATAAAATTTAATGTCAGAAAAGTTACATCCGCTTAAAATTAGAAAGCAACAGAGGGAGATGGTGACAGTGTCGTAGCGAGGTCGGGTGTCACCTGGTGCGGCACTTAATGGTGTCACCCCCCCCCCCCAGAGGCGTTGCGACCCTTCCCGGGGACAAACTTTCAAGTTTTCGATTTGCACCCCCCCCCCTCAGACTTTCGATTTGCACCCCACCCTCAAGTTTTTCTCTATATATTTTGCTATTTTTTGCCTTGGTGTCCACCCCCTAAATGGTGTCACCCGGTGCGGTCCGCACCCCCGCCCCCCCCCCTCGCTACGCCCCTGGGTGACACCACATCATAAATGTAAGAAAAAACGTTGCAGGGTGAGATGACACCCTCATTCACCGCACCTGTTGACACCTGACCTAGAGTTGAACATGTTAATTTAATGGAGTAAAATACCTGACTCTTTATACTGAACCACTCGCTCCTCCACATCGGTAACCCAACCTCGCTCTTCTCTAGATCTACTGTGCATTTTGTGCGAATGCACGAGAGGACATCTGAATAAATTTGTCCGATAAGTACCCACTGTTCACCCGATACTGTACAGCTTAATGCAACAGGTGTGGGGGTAGGAGGTGGGGGGGGGGGGGGGGGGGTGGACCACTACACGTCAGTATGTGGACGTTACGGTGATTAACTAGGATAATTGATGCCTTTGTTTCACGGAGCGCGACTGGCTAATTAAAGTGTTCTAAAGGTAATTAATTTCTGAAATGTTGTCAGACAGGCCTTAGTAGATAATGACGTGTATTGTGAACATGGTATTACATTTGTGATAGTGATAGAGGTAGACAGTTAATGATTAGTTAGTTGGAAACTACGTGGATGGCTGATGGTGTTTTACAAAATAGATGTTACTTGTCAATTTAAAAAAAATAAAATAAAAATAAAGTACTCTATTAAACATCATAGAGCAGATGAAGTAAAGTTCATCTGTTTTTTCATTCCGTGGCACGAGAAAGGCATTATGTCAAGCGATAACATGGTGAGCCTAGGTGTAAAAACAGGTAAATATGCATTCGCAGGTAAAACTAATTACGTTTTTAAAAATTATTCTTTTGTATGACATCATATGCGTAGCAAATATCGTCCACCATATATAGGGTGTTTACTATTTACTCTTCGCCCTTATACAACTTGCTGTGTTTTATACATTGTGTTGGTTCTAGCGAATGAGATTTTTTTCTATATAAATTATATTTTTTAGGGGAGGGGGGGCAGAGTTTCTTCCAGGCATCTCTTCCATCTCTACCGCCCCCCCCCCTCCCCCGCTCCGAACGAGATGGAATTTATATAGTAAACATATATTTTTACTTGTGTCGCCCCCCCCCCCCCCCGGGAAAATATCAAGTACCATTTCCCCCCCCCCCCCTCCGTAGAAAAAAATTCTGGAAGAAACACTGGGGAAGTGGAACTTGCCCCAGTGCAATCTGGCTGCAGAAATTAAGTTTTTATACATAAATGTTTTACGGTATTCAAGTTATCGTGTTTACTCACGCACACACCCAAACACATATTCACACAGACATAAGCTGACGAACAGGAATGAAATGCCGAGTTTGTCCGGCCTCAGAAGTTTATATAGCTTCAAAAATTGGTCAAAATCTTGATTTAGATTTTTGCACGTTTAAAATGCTTCTTTCATATTCCGCATACGATAAAGTGGGTAGGTGTAAAAGGCGAAAAACTACCAAAATATCATTTTATTTTTTTGTGCACTGCTGCAATACTTTCTTTGTACTCTGTATACGAGAAAGTTAAAACCACTAATGCCCTGATTGTATTTTTCATAGATCAACAATCGCCATGACAGAAACGTTCACCATTCGTCAGATGCAGGAGTCAGAGGTGGAGGAGACTTACCTGTTGATTGACAAGGAGGGCTGGAACCTCACCTTGGATAAGTTTACACACCTCTTCCGGTCACGGCCTGAAGCTTTTACTGTGGCTGTCACACCATCGGGGGAGGTTGTAGGTGAGGTTATCATAGGTGGAAGATGGCGTTGGACGTTGGTGTGGTAGGTGGAAGATGGCGTTGGGCGTAGGTGTGGTAGGTGTAAGATGGCGTTGGACGTTGGTGTGGTAGGTGGAAGATGGCGTTGGACGTTGGTGTGGTAGGTGGAAGATGGCGTTGGACGTTGGTGTGGTAGGTGGAAGATGGCGTTAGACGTTGGTGTGGTAGGTGGAAGATGGCGTTGGACGTTGGTGTGGTAGGTGGAAGATGGCGTTGGACGTTGGTGTGGTAGGTGGAAGATGGCGTTGGACGTTGGTGTGGTAGGTGGAAGATGACGTTGGACGTTGGTGTGGTAGGTGGAAGATGGTGTTGGACGTTGGTGTGGTAGGTGGAAGATGGCGTTGGACGTTGGTGTGGTAGGTGGAAGATGGCGTTGGACGTTGATGTGGTAGGTGGAAGATGGCGTTGGACGTTGATGTGGTAGGTGGAAGATGGCGTTGGACGTTGATGTGGTAGGTGGAAGATGGCGTTAGTCGTTGGTGTGGTAGGTGAGACTGAAGATGGCGTTAGTCGTTGGTGTGGTAGGTGGAAGATGGTGTTAGATATAGAAGGTAGACTATTGTAGGTGAAGATGGCGTTAGTCGTAGGTGTGGTGGTGGCGCTAGAAATAGAAGATGTGGTAGATGGAAGATGGCGTTAGTCGTTGGTGTGGTAGGTGAGACTGAAGATGGCGTTAGTCGTTGGTGTGGTAGGTGGAAGATGGTGTTAGATATAGAAGGTAGACTATTGTAGGTGGAAGATGGCGTTAGTCGTAGGTGTGGTGGTGGCGCTAGAAATAGAAGATGTGGTAGATGGAAGATGGTGTTAGACATAGTAGGTTGACTATCGTAGGTGGAAGATGGCGTTAGGTATAGAAGGTGACAAGCTTGAATCTAGCATTAGACAATGCACGCACAAATTGTTTCTTTTTCTGTATGAATGTTGTTATAGTGATGTACCCTTTCATTCTGACGGCCTAGGGGTCAGGTAAGGCATAGTTCACTTGCTTTAGTGACATTGGCGTATGAAAAAAATGGTGAGGTCAGTATTATGCCCAGCCGCTTTTACTTTTCCGAACGTGAGTCAGGTACCCATAAAAGTAAGGTTGACTCAGGGACATTCTACTGACACAAACCTTGGATTCGAACTCGAGACTTTCAGGTTAGCAGAGGTATGCTCTACCATCCGACCACATCGTTCTTATCAGTGCTGTTATATAAAAATAATTCAATTTTTTTTTCTAGGTACTGTTAGTTTCTTCCCCACCTTCCCCAACGAGTATGTTCTGGGCAATATTGTGATAAAAGGGCCGTATCGCCACAAGGGAATGGGCTACAAGCTAGTAGAGGCCATGATGGCCCAGCGGCCAAATTGTGTCGTCTCCTGTACGGCCGTCCCGGGTGCTGACCAGTTCTACCTGTAAGTTGTGATGGGCCACTACCAGTAAGTTTTGTAGACTTGTGTTTATGGGCCACTACCTGTAAGTTGTGTCGATTTTATGGGCCGCTATCTGCATTTTGTGTCGACTTTATTGGCCACTACCTGCGTGGTGTTTAGACTTTATGGGCCACTATCTGCATGTTGTGTCGAATTTAAGGGCCACTACCTGTAAGTTGTGTCGACTTGTATTAATGGGCCACTACCTGTATTTGCCCTAATAGTCCTCTGATGTCCTCTGATTAATTTCCTTTGGTTTAATGTCTCCTAGATAATTATGTCCTCTAACGTCATCTCTTGTCCTCTGATTTGTCTTCTGGTTTCGTCCTCGATGTACGTCTTCTAATGTCCTATGATGTCCTCTAAACCAATGTCCCCTGCTGTCCTCAGATGTTCTGTATATAACCCTGCTGTCCTATAACATATGTCCTCTGATGTCCTCTAACCAATGTCCCTGGAGTCCTCTGATGTTCTCTATATCCCTTGACGTCCTTCGACATGTCCCCTGATATCCTCTAACATATGCACCATGATGTCCTCTAACATATGTTCCCTCATGTCCTCTAACATATGTCCCCTGATGTCCTTGAACATATGTCCCCTGATGTCCTTAAACATATGTCCCCTGATGTCCTCTAACATATGTCCCCTGATATCCTCTAACATATGTCCCCTGATGTCCTTAAACATATGTCCCCTGATGTCCTTAAACATATGTCCCCTGATGTCCTCTATCATATGTTCTCTAATGTCCTCCCCAGCAATGTCGGCTTCAAGTTCACCGAACCCCAGCAGGGTCACGACATATTCCACATCCTCCTCGACACGCACGACATCAACCAGCGGTGCCAGCAACAAGACACCACCACCACAGTCCAGGACTTCGACCCGGCCTCCTTCCATGACCTCGTGACCTACGACCGCGAGGTCAAAGGTTACGAGAGCCGGGAGTACGTGTCGATGATGGTGGATTGCTTCAAGACGTGGGTGGCTCGCGACGGGCGGGGTTCGCTGGTGGGGTTCGCTGCTGCTTTCATCAAGAGGGATGAGATTGTACTGGACAGCCTGTGCGCTGATTCCCCTGAGGTGGCCTGTCTGTTTATCAGGTAGTGTCTTGGTCGCCTATAAAGGACATGATTTGTTTTTCAATTTTTTTATACTTCCCTCCCCCCTCTACTTCTTACCGCATCATCACTTGACATCACAAAAAGTAATACCCCTCCACGCCCTAAAATAATGTCACATTTCAGCTAACCACCCCTCATTTAAAATTGCAATTTTTTTAGTTATTTATTTTTATTCTAATCATTGATCAAAATATTAACTGGTTCCGTCAGCAATGAGTTGATTGAACTAGTGTTTCTTCCAGAATTTTTTTATTTTTTCTTCGGCGGAGTAAAATTTCTGGGGGGGGGGGGGGAGGACACTGTTAAAAGCAGGGGCGTAGCGAGGGGGAGCGGAGGGTGCGGACCGCACCGGGTGACACCATTTAGGGGGGTGACACCAAGGCAAAAAAATAGCAAAATATATAGAGAAAAACTTGAGGGGGGGGGGTTGCAAATCGAAAGTTTGAGGGTGGGGGGTGCAAATCGAAAACTTGAGGGGGGGGGGTACAATCGAAAGTTTAAAAGTTTGTTCCCGGGAAGAGTCGCTACGCCTCTGGGGGGGAGGAGGGGGTGACACCATTAAGTGCCGCACCGGGTGACACCCGACCTCGCTACGCCACTGGTTAAAAGTATATATTTTCTATATAAATTCCATTTCGTTCGGGGGGGGGGGGGGAGGGGCTCTGGATAAAACAGATTTTTAACTCTTGACCTAACATTTCTGTTTTGTTTCTTTAACTCAAAATTACGGTTTAAAATTCGGTTTAAAACATTAAAATGAAAATGTAATCGATACACTTTCTAAACAACACCCCTCCCCCCTTACCTACTTATCCCTAAGACCACCCGGCTCTGATGGGTACCTAACTCATGTTAAGGAAATTTAGTTGGCTAGGCTGACCACGCTATCTCTTCATATGACTAGGTACTCGAAGCAGATAAACTCTACTTCAGCTGCCCCACGTTTCATGAACACGAACGGAAAAAGATGGTTATGTTATTGCATGCACCCTTACTTTTGCCGAATCAAAAATAAATTTAAAATTTAAAAATAAATAAATAATAAAAATAAAATCCTTAGAGTTATTAAATAAAATAATGTATATAACTTAATATAAGTAAAATACTTTACTTTAGAATTACACTTTTAAACCAGAAATGGCTAGGTTTTTATACGTAGGCTGTAATTGATTGTGGTGCATTCAGTAGCGTAGCGAGGGGGGTGCAAATCAAATCTCGAGGGGGGGGGGGGGGGGGAGGGGGGTGCAAATCGAAATCTCGAGGAGGGGGGGGGGGTGCGCAAATCGAAAGTTTGAGGGGGGTGCAAATCGAAATTTCGAGGGGGGGGGGGGTGCAAATAGAAAAGTTTGTCCCCTGGCGCCGGGAAGGGTCGCTACGCCTCTGGGTGCATTAGTTTAATCCTAACAGCGCACACTAACCGCCATATAGATACTGAATTTCTTATTACTTATCCCATTGAGAACTAAACACTTTAAGTCAATTTATGATAAAATGTATTTATTCCAATTAATTTTTTTTTTAATCGTCAGGGAGATTCTCCGCCATTTCACGGGAAGAAATAACATGAAACTTCAAGTGCCCGTCATCCAATTTATTTCTGCCTTCGCTTGGACAGGTTGTCTCCTCTTACAAATACAAC